AAAAAAAGAAAAAAAGAAAAACCAATATGCTTTGTAAACTTCCACACAAATCATAATGATGATGATAAAAAATTGGTTCTTGATGGACTCAAACTGACTACAGCAACTTGAGAGGTGAGATGGTAACCACCAGGGCAGCAGGCTCACGCTGAGAGAGTTTACATCAGGTCAGAACCGTGAGGAGGGGGGAGAATGGCTGCACAGCTCAAAGGCGGCAGCAGGAGACAAGGACCTGCACCCAGCAAACCACAGGGCTGGAGAATGTCTGCATATCCTCAAAATAAACCAAACCCCAGTAAAATAGAAAATCAGAAGGTCACCACTGCTTTTCAAAATTTAAGGTTCACATCATACCTGTTCAGCTTCTAGATGAAAACACCATAAAATAAGATACTGGGCAGTTTCTTCACACACAAGGTAGGGATGGTCAGACAAGAACCTCTGACTATCATCCCATCGGCTCAGCATACCTGTAAAAAAAAGAGAGGGAGGAAAAATAAACAATGACTATCAAATATTTTCTTTCTTCCTGTTTAAGAAATGATAATGTTTTTATTTACAGTCAATGCATATTAACAGAGCAAAATACTAAGGAGAAAGATAAAAAGAGGAGCAAACACTCTTCAAAGCCAAGCCAGTGCACTGGAAATAGTATCCACGATTTACAGACAGCTGATGTCGGATCGTTGGTCAGGCTGACATCTCCCAGTGTGTCTGGGGCTTTCGAAGAGGCCACTCTCAATCGCTGGCAAAGCAGGACAAGAGCTCATCCCCAGCTAAGGAGCACACAGATGAATTCCAGAAACCTGCTCTCAGTCAGTCTATTATTACTAATTATTTAGTCCTGGTTTACAAAGGTGGGAAAGACAGGAAAACTACAAGAAGCAACACTGACCAAACTTAAGACTGAATAAAAGATCAGGAAAACAACACTGTCATTTATTAAGAAATGCATTTCGGATGACATGGTAAAATGTGGACAGTGTGGCAATCGCTCAGTACTATGCTTTGTTGTTGTTGTTAGGAGCTGAAGGATCGAGTGCAACTCAGAGTGACCCTATGAACCACAGATCTGAGCTCTGTCCTATCCTGTGCCATCCCTGTACTTTCTGACACACTGGAGACCACTGCTGTAGTCACTGTGTCAATCCACCTGGCCAAGGGTCTTCCTCTCCTTAGCTTTCCTTCCAGCTTCCCAAGCACGGATGTCCCTTCTCCAAGGAACAGCCTCTCCTAGAAACATGCCCAAAGAAAGTGAGATGAACCTTTATCATCTTTGTCTCCAAGGAGTACTCTGGCTGCACCTTCTCCAAGACAAATCTGTCTGTTCTTTTGGCCGTCCATAGGATAGTACTTTCTCCAACACTCCAGCTCAAAGGCATCGATTACTCTTCTGCCATTCTCATCCACTGTCCAGCTCTCAGCAGCCTAGCAAGTGACTGAAGAGACCATGGCCTGAATAAGGCATACATTAGTCCTCAAACTACAAACTAGCATCATTGCTCCCCAATAATTTGGAGAGGTCCCTGAATGCAGTACATCTCCTGATCTCCTGACTGCTGGTATCAAGTGTACTGATCGTGGACCCAAGTAAGATGAAATCATTGACAATTTTAATCTTTTATCCATCTATCATGATGTAGCCTATTGGTCCAGTGGCGAGAAATGCTATTTTCCTGATGTTGAGATGTAATCCATGTTGAAGTCCTCACTTTTAGTAAGCCCATTCAAGTCTTCACTTTCAGCAAGCAAGGTTATGTCGTCTACATAACGAAGGTTACTGATGAGTATTCCTTCAATCCTGATGCCATATTCTTCTTCAAAGAATCGAGCGTCTCAAACAATTTGCTCAGCAGATTGAACGGTTGTTGCTATTAGGTGCTATCGAGTCAAGTAAGACCCATAGTAATCTTACGAACAACAGACCTAAACTCTGTCCTGTCCTGTGCCATCATCACATTTCCTGACCCATTAAAGTCCATTAGGGCAGTCACCGCGTCAATCTACCTGGTCAAGGGTCATCTTCTCCTTCCCTGACCTTTCTGAGTATCCTGCCCCTCCTAGCAGGAACATGCCAGAAGTATTTGAGGCAAAGTTTCATCATCTTTGCCTCCAAAGAGCCCTCTCTGGCTGCACCCTCTCCAAGACATATTTGCTTGTACTTTCAGCAGTCCGTGAGATGTCCAGTGCTCTTCTCCAAATCCCCAGCTCAAAGGCATCAATTCTTCTTCTGTCATAGATGTTCACTGGACTGATAGGTAACATCATGATAGATGGGGAAAAGATTGAACCTGTCAACAACTTCATCTTACTTGGATCTACAATTAACACCCTTGTTACCAGCAGTCAGGAAATCAGGAGACATACTGCACTAGGAAAATCTAGTAGAGACCTCTCCAAATTATTGAGAAGTAATGCTGTCAATTGGAGGACTAAGGAGTGTGTGTTTCAGGCCATGATCTTTCCAAACACTTGCTATGCATCTAAAAGCTGGACAATGAATATGGCTGAGAGAAGAAATGATGCATACTGAACAGGTATGGAGAAAGGCTGGAATCCTGACACACACCTGTCCCAATTCTAAACCATGGAGAATTCCCTTGTTCTGCATAACAGTCTCTTCGTCAATCTTGACATTATGATGTTGTTATGTACCATCAAGCTACCTGGGACTCACAGCAACCCTAAGCGCATTAGCTCTGAACTCTGCCCTATCCTGAGTCAATCTCATCGTCTCCAACAGACCTAATTCCATTTCTGTAGTCACTTAGTCAATCCATCTCATTCTGGGTCTTCCTTTCCCATGCAGTCCCTTCACCTAAGTATGAAGTCCCTCTCTAAGGACCAGACCCTCCTTGCTATGTGCCCTAAGTATGTTAGATGAAGCTTCAAAATCCTTGCCTCTAGGTCATATGTATTTTATGAGAAGCATACTTGCCCCCCCCCCCATAATACTAATAGCACAATAAACTGTAATTGAACTTGTGACGGATACTTCAAACCAGTACGATTTTGTTTCAAAATGGCAAACTAATCCAAATACTACTAGGCATATCTTCAACTCTTTTTAAAGAGAAACAGACTGAGAAGTCAGCATCACCCAAGCAATCTGTCCAGGGAGCCTCACACTTGAGTAACTCACTATGACAACGTTTGGAGTCTCTGGTGCATCCAAGGAAAGCTGCCTGCAATGGAGCGATCACGGACATTGTTAAGGGTGTCTCCAAAACCAGGCAGGAAACCTCTTCTCAAGACACAAAATGAGCTGACACATAAGAGCCCCATCACAGAACACAATTAAGAACAAAATTGAGGACAGATGATAAACACACATTTTTATCAACCCCTTGGCATTAACAGAACTTAAATTTCTCCTCAGTTAAAAACAGAATTAAAGCATCTTAGAATTTTCTCATAGTTTTACATGCTTTATAAAGTTATTTTTCCAATGTTCTAGATTTAATAATTGTTGTTGTTAGGTGCTGTTCAGTTGACTATGATTCAAAGTGACACTTTGAACAACAGTAATTAGGTCAGTTTAAATTCTGAAAATTATTATGGCAATTCCTAAACACTACTTCCTATAGCAGAGCTGAAGATGGTCTAACTAATGACTTTTGCAAGCAGCTCTGAGGAAGTTAACTCGTATCTCTTATACCAAGGGCCAAAAGGAAACCCTGTGAATTGGCTTTGCTCCGCTATCTTACAGTGAGAAGTGACTGGTATTTTTCAGGATTGCAGTGCAGTTTCTTACAACTAGGCCACCAGAGCTCCCCAGAGAAGTGATCAATATTTTCAATGCTCTTTTATCCAGTCATCAACGCTTCTCCTGGTCACTTCTCCAAGGTAGCATCCCACCTCACCATCCCACTAACACCCCACTCATTCTGATTTCTTTAGGAAGTACAACATGAAAGGGTTAGTGACATCTGCGGGGGGCCATGAAGATAAACAAGTTGTTATACCACTCATTTACTACTTGAAAAAAAAAATGAACACATTCACTGGCCACAGGTTTTATCTAGAGATACTTGTCATCTCCTTATTTCAAAATATACCCTAAATGATGATGAAATGGGGAAGAAAGGTTAGAGGTAGCTCATAGAGACCTTTGTGGGTAGAGTGTGGAATCTGATGAATGAACTGTGATAGCCAATGGTTTAATGGAACAAAGCATACCTGAAACTACTGATATACTTTTGGAATTTACAGAAAATCTTGTATGCAAATCAAGAGTAATACAATGATGACACTAAAGCTGACCTGCCTTCACAACTCAATAGCTTTTGGATTAAGGGCAAGTTCCTTTCTATCTCTGCCACCATTTCCTTGTCGGTAAAATAGGGTTAAGCAGAGAGCACATACCTTCCAGTGCTTCAGTGAAGGTTATGTGCATTAACACAGATAAAGCCCCTGGAGGAGTGACTGACAGTAACTGCCAGTAAAGGTTAGGCAGTGGTGACACAATAGTCAACGACATTCATTCCTTTCCTCATCTAACGAATGCTTAAGCTGATTCTTTGGATGAGGGGAATCTACCCTGAATGCTTGAAAAACTTCACTTTAGCAAAATATTTTAACAATGATGTGTGGGTTGTTTTTTCAAAAAGTTTGGTCATATTTATATTTACAAGATTATATTATGTTATATTCTTTCACTTTCTGTTGTTGTGTACCACAGAGTCGGAACTGACCCATAGCTGACCCTCCAGCAGGTTTTCAGAAGCAGTTAGTTACGTGGGAGGAGACTGTCCATCCTTCTCCTGCTGAGCCTCGAACCCTATGCCTTCAGGACTGCAGCGCAGCTTCTTGCCACTAGGCGACCAGAGCTCCCACAATGATGTGCTTTGACCTATGTATTTTCCTACTGATCATCTAAATTCAGCTCCAGCCAAGCCACACACTGTTCATTTTCCTCTGATACTGTAAAAATTTTTAATCCTAATACTCCAGGATGCTGTTGCATCAGATGGTAGTCTCCATGTACTTTAAAAGGCTAAAGGCAGCCAGTCAACAGGTGCCATGGGGGAAAGTCAAGTTGACTGTGGAAGAGAAGCACCGATTGACGACCCCACCGCCCCTGCTCATACCCTTCTGTGCTGCAGAACAAGTGCTTGGAATCTAATTTAAGTTTGCCAAGCATACAGCTGGAGACCTCGATCACAGCTGCTATTCCAGATGGGTTTTCTTGATAGTGGTGTAATCAACATAACCTTCACTTTGGGAAGTGCTTTTATAACACGTAAGCAGAAGCACCAGAAAAACTTGCTTCCACTAAACACAGACAAGAGCAAATGCTCCTGGTATGCCTTAGGTTTACCTCACTGTGCTAAAACCGACTCCACAGAGCGCTGCTATCCCGCCATTCCACGGGACTGCAAGTGGGGTCACTGCACACTGACGGGGCAGGGGGAGCGGGAGGTTAACGGGTGCCTCAGAGACCCTGGTAGTAAGCCCACGGCAAAACAAT